CATTTGGCTTTAAAAACAAAAGCAATGCTATTCCCGACATTTCATTTCTGGTGATATCTGATGCAAACAATATTTATTTATTCCACCCTAAACAGCTAAAGTAAACCAGAGTCATACATAACCCAGGGACATGCAGGTGAATTCTGAGCTCCCACTTGATTCTAGCCCCAACCCCAAAACAGTTAGTTCTTATGACATGGGCCTGCTCGACACCTGCCTTCATGAAGTGTTCACTGAAGATATGGGTGCTACAGCAAAATGTAGTGAAGAAAGCAGATGGTGCCCAGATATCAATTGGAATAGTGTCTGGGGTCTAACAAGCAGCCATCTAAGTGGGGCATCGACTAAATCCGCATGGAAGAAGCACACCAGCCTGTGTGATCCAAAGATGACAAATAACAAAATCCAGATATGATAAAGGGAAAGGTATCAGAGCTTAAATTGCAAACACTTAATCCATAGAAGGCTTTGGAGTACAGTGAGCATCCAAAAATCCATCTGCCGAGTACCGATTCAGCTTAAACTTCTGGCAGATCCCCTTGGGCCAGAGTTGAGGGCCTTGGACAGACTTACTATCTGCCTGAGATGATTGTGAACTTGATTATGGAGGATGGAACTTCAGCACAATATGATACCTGGTCAGCTTACCTCCCTTTGGACCCATCTTGACTTTGCTCTTGGTTCAAATATTTCTCACTTGTACCACACATAAATTTTCTCTCTGACTTTTTTAATATTGCAGTAGCTTTTCTTTGTTTTTAAAAATATTTTTATTGTTTCTGTTATGTTTCCCAGTTTATGAAACACAGACGGTGCAGATGGATAGAGACAATAACTGATATAATAACTTATCAGGGATGGGTAGGGGAGGTGGGGGTTTGGGGCACAAATAATAGGGAATGCACTAGAATTTATTGTGATGTCACTCTTTCAAAAAGTGACTTAACTATGGAAGTACATTATATGTGAATTTTATATCAATAAAACTATTGAAAAAGAAAAGAAAGCAGAAAATGTGAAAAATTAGAAAAAATGTAAATGGATCATAAGGGAGATCAAACGATAAGGTGCTAAATTTTAACCTAACTGCATCTGCAGAAATCCACTTTCCAATGTAATCTGCATGTTAACCAGGCTATTCCCATCCCCGGTCCTTGGTAAGAGGGGATTCCACAGGGCCTTAATCATTTGCATTTCCCCTTCACTTTAAAAAAAACTGAAACGGCTTTAAAATGAGCCCAATGGAAGATCAAAGATAAGATATTACATTTTAACCTAACTACTTCTGCCATATCGACTTTACAAAGCTGTCTCTCTGATAACAAGCTATTCACATCACATAGCTATGATCATAGGGGATTCACCAGAGGCTAAATCCCTGTTGGACTCTGCAAATGGATCTTGGGGCTTTCACTGTCATCCATAACCTGCAAACCAGGTGTTCACAATTTAAGCTCTGCTGCCATTTCCTCCTTCAGATTGAGATTATATCATTTACCATCCTTGGATCACACAGGCTGGTGCACTTCTTCCACGTGGGCATAGTTGACACCTTGCTTAGAAGACTGCTTATTTGAAGAGAAGCCTTTAAGACCTCAGATACGATTCTTTCTGATAGCTGGGCACCATCTAATTTCTTCACCACACTTTGATATTGCACCCATAGCGTCTGTGATATTTTCATGAGGTCAAGCATAAAGCAAGGCCATGTCTATAACATGAGTCCCCTGAGGTAAGAACAGTCAGCATGGACAATCAGAATAGGCACTTAACTCACAATACACAGTGGAAGCATAGGTAGTCGGGGGGGAGGTCACACCAAACAAGGAAGGCACATGTGAGTCCAATATAAAGAAGGGGAAATGGGGAAGAAGGAGGAAGAATGGGGGTGGGGAGAAACTGAGATGATATAGGGGGAACAGGGCACTAACCCACCCAGGGGGAGAGTATTGGTTATGTCCCCACAGAGTTGGAATGTGCATACAGACCCCACCATGATGCGCCAATGTAACACATGGGAGGAAAATATAAAAAGACTGGGCTATAGGGCTGGCCCTAACCAGAACCAGCCTGACCCCCACCATGGAAGGGTGTGCCATAGAGAATGACAATAGAACTTCTGGTGGGGGAAAGGAATTGACCTACCATACTCAGAGTGAAGTGGAAGCAAACGAAGGGGGAGGAAGGGGACAGAGCACACGCTGGCCCACCAAGCCCTGAGGACAAAAGCCCCACTCAGAACAGCCAGTGCACAGAGGGGACCATACGGCCGGCCCCACTACGAGACGGGACATCCCACACTGACCCATAGCCCTATGTGGGATGTGTGACCGAGCTGACCCCATCACACCGAGGCAAAACACTAAGGGCGTGCAACAGAAC